AACTGATTTATAAATAGTAAAATGTTTACAGCAGATTGTCAAAGCAGTGCAACAACTGTTCACTTGCAAGTTATTGCCAGTTTTGTGTTCAATAAGTTCTTCTGCTAGTTTTCTCTTCTTCTCAATTTAACGCTCTATTTTGCTTTTACGCTCTCGCTGCAATGTTACTGTTAGGGCCTGTGCCAATCAGTAGAAAAGTTCTATGGTGGAAAACTTTTTACTATGGTGAGAAAATTTTTCATTTCTGCTGTGCCAATTCGTAACTTTTTACTGCTGGAAATTTTTGACAGTTGCTTTCATGCAGAAGAAGGCTATCGGGTTAGCAAGTAATAGAATGCAGCAATTATAGAGAAAATATTTGCCTTTGCTGATCTCAGTTCTTCTGGTACTGAAATCCATGTACTTATTATACCTTTTAGCAATAAACAATAATTTTTCACTAATATCCACTCGCTTTGGTTTTCTTTAATTTATGTGTATACATGCGTTGTTCTGTATTCTTCGTGATATAAGCTTTGTTTCTTTACAGATAATTATCACTAGTTTTTGCTGGAAACAGTTTCTCAACCCAAAAGACTAGCGGCTTTCGTTCTAACACTCTTCTTTTTTTGCCTCTCCTGATAATTTCTGCATGTAAAATTTTTACTAGCTGAATATAACATCTGCCAAAATGAATACACACCTGTTGAAGCGCAAACAAGCGAGGTTAAGTTTGCTTTATTTGTTTCTTTCTCCAAATTTTTGGTATTTCTTAAATAAAAATTTGCGAATCATTAAATATTGATGAAATTGTAAAATGTATTTGTGAATAGTTTTTATATATAAAACGCGATTGAAAAATTTCGTCAAATATTTTCCAATGTCAAATACACCGATCAGGTAGTTACTTGCTATTTTCTGTTAGTTTCGTTTCTTAACTATTTCTTTATATCGCCCGTAATTCCATCAATGATCCCATTCCTCTTTTTCCTGATAATTATCGGCTAGAAAACTAAAGAAAAAAAGCTACTGCTTGCTGCCAAATTTTCACTAGCCCTGCCGGATAAACAATTTTTATTCACCTCATAGCTGTCAAAAATTTACTATCCAGAGTACTTTTCTATTAGTTGGCACAGGCCCTTACTATACAAACCTAATGTTACTCGCATATTTTCGAGCCTGTATGTACATTTTCGGGAAAAAGGTTAAAAAGTGTATCCATCTGCTGAAAAGATATTTTCGCAGAATCACAATTTATTTAAAATAAATCTATTAGCCCAATCTCCAATTCCATGTGAATAAATCTCCCCAGTGCTTAAATAATTTTCACCACATTAAATAGCTGCACAACACCCTAATTGCCGAAAAAGCGTTGCTTGCAACACTAGTCCTTTATGGGGACCAAACTTGGCGAAAAAAAAATAGCTAAGTTTGTTTACTGGATATACTGAGTCCACGACGTCCGTCTCGTTTGTCGTGCAGTTTAGAACTGATATTACAATGTCAAGCAGGTGTCTGTATATGTGGGCGCAGTTTTCTGTGTCTGTTTTGTAGTTTAGTCTCTTGTTTGGTGGTGTGTTAATTATGTGGAGCATTTCTAATGTGAAACGTTTAT